GCGGGGCCGTCTTCCCAGCGCGTCCGTGGACTTCGCCCCGACCCGGTGTCTGTGCGGCGCCGTTCAGAAAATACTAGCGCCCATCTCTCCTGTCCCGGCGCCCCTCCGTCCCCCTGTCCAGTGCCGGGACCCCGCCCGCCCTCAGGGACCGTCACAGCGCCACCGCCACCGCCACCACGCGCTTTTCCCAGCTTTCTGAACGGGACGTTTTGCCTGCGACGCCTGATGGTGTATTCTCCGGCTGTCCCTCTGGCATTGTCGTTTCCTGTGGACACTGCCCTTGCCTCTCCCACTGGTCCGCTGAGGACGAGGCCGTGTGCGAGTGGCTCCCCACGGCCAGGGGTCCCCCAGGAGCGTGGCTCGGGGCGCCCCACCCCACCGGGCACCGGGTCACCCTCTGTGTCTCGCTGCGATGCTCGGGGTTCAGGAAGGGGCCCTGCCTGACGGCGGGGCCAGCGTTTGCATTTCGCGGTGGTTCTTTGTGTTTTTAATCTACTCTCCATCTTTTGAGTTGTGGGCAGAATTGTCAAGATTGTGGCAAGCGGCACATCAGTTATAAACATCCTGGGCGCCAGCTTCGCACTTTCACGCCGTTTCTGGCAAAGACAGTGAAAGAAGCATCTCTAAAATTCCGTAGATCGCGTTGTGATTTTGAAACTCACAGTTTTGAACAGCCCGAAGTTTCGAAGGAAAAAACAAATAAGCACTTTTATTTTTGCCACCTGCTGGCTCCCCAACCAGGAAAGGCCGGTGGCAACAGGGGGCAGAAACGAGAGTCGCTTCTGTCCGCTGAGCACGCGGCGGCCGCGCAGCACACGCTTCGAGATCCGGACGTGGTTCTGCGTTTCTCTTCACGCTGCTCCTTTCGTTGACGCCTCCTGCCGCTGCTCCTGTGTGGGTGGACCTCGGTCCCTGCTGGAAGCAGCCAAATGTCACCCGCTTCCGGCTGCCGGTGGCAAGTGGGGAAGGGAGGAGGCTTCCCCCTCCGCGTCCAGGCGGCAAAAGAGAGGTCACCTGACAGAGCTTGCAGGTGCCGCTGCTCCGTAAGCCTTGGGAAATGTCCCGCTCTCAGCGCATGGCGTTGGGGCCTGGGAGAGGACAGCCGGGCCTGGGAGAGGACAGCCCCGCCCGGGCCGGCGACCTTCCTTTTGCTTCGTTCCACTCCGCTGGCCCGGGTGACGGGACTGATGGCCACGTGTGCTCGGCCGAGGGACAAAACCACTTCTTTCACTTTACTGAAGCCGACGTCAGTGCGGACAGACACAGAACCAAGGAAGTGAGCTCCGTGGGTGTCCCGGGCCACTCCCCTGTCGCGATGCCGAGTGACGTGTCCGCGTGGCGCCCGTGTCCTTGTCCCGAAGTGAACACTCTGACCCCGGAACCCGCACCAGCCTCGTTTCTAGCGTGGTGCGCGCGCCTCTTCCAGTTTTAGAATGGGAGATTTAGGCGTCTTCCTTACTAGTCCCTTTGCATGACTGTCACTCCCGTGACCTCAGGGACGCTTTTTCCCGTCGCGTTCCTTCTTCCTTCCCCTCCCCCGTGTTTTTGTTTATTCCCCATCTTTGCTTCCACTGACGCCTGCCAGGACCGGGAGGGCATCCGATCGGATTTCGTCCTGTACATCTCGTTGCCTCAAGGCTCTTGTTTCTGGAACGGACCGTGTAAAGGATGGTGACGGACACAGCAAAATGCTTTTTACTGCGGGACTGGTGTTAAGCCACGAGTGTCATGGGAGGGTTCCACTGGACGGCTGCGGCGCGTCCACTTTCCATCGTAAAGGGAAATGTGAAGCAGCCAGTCAGAGCGCGCGTCCAGCACGTTCTGGGAATGGCTGGGGGAGGCCTGACTCCGACTTGTTGCAGTCGCCACTTGTGAATGCGAAGATGTCTGCTGTGACCCTCGTCCCCCTGTGCGAGGGCGGCCTCCCACGTCCACAGGCAGAGGAGGGCGTGTTGCTTGTCTCCCAGCTGGGACATGGGGGCTGGTGTCGCAGGCTTCGGGCCCAGGCCACGCGGTGACTGCCGTCCCTTTGGGCTCTGTGGCAGCCCACCCTGCGACCCGCTGTGGGGCAGCACGGGGTGGGGACGTGGCGTTCCCCGGAGTGGGCTCGGGTGGCTGTACCCGAGTGCTGTACCTCGTGGGATGGGTGAGGCGGTAGACGTGACAGCCCAGCCTTTTCTCCCGTGAGCTGATGTCACGGAACTGCGTCCTTTATGGACCGAGGGCCACCGTGCGCTGCTTCTCCCAATGGACTGGTTCTGCCCAGGTGTCTGCGGTGTCAAGGGGAGCTTCTGTTTCAGGGAGTCTTTCTGGCAGTTGAGGTGCAGTGTCCTCGACTGACTAACGTTGACAAAGGAGCCGGAGAACGAGCAGCAGCTCCCTTGGGGAGAGGACTCTCGCCGTGGTTCAGGGTCACGGCTGCGGTTCAGGGTCATGGCCACGGTTCAGGGTCACGGCTACGGCCTCAGGCGAGCCCCATGGCCCTGCAGACGGGGCGGGGGGCGCAGCGGGATCCACTGAGCCCACGTTCACTTCCCGAAGCCTGGCCGGAGAGGGCAGCCGGTGATGATGACGCCCGGAGTGGACGGGCAGCGGGCAGGTGGAGCGGGACCGGCCGGGGGCTGTCGCGATGTCGCGGGCGCGAGGTCCCACGGCTGACACGTTCGCGCGTCCCCTGTGCATGGAGGGCGGTCCTCGAACACCCACGAGCCTCACTTTTCGTGTCGATGAATGAGAAGAGTGATAGTTTGTACCCGACAGTTGACGTGAAGTCCCAGGAGGGTAGTCGGCACATAGCTAGCGCTCCTTAGATGCCGATGGTGACGACGACGGTGACAGTGGCCCGCCCGCGACTGGCCCACAGGTTGCTATGCCCGGCGCCTGCTCCTGTGTCACCCTCTGCCCCGTAGTCCATGCTGCCACCTCGCTGCCAGCTGATGGCTTCTTCGTTAGCCTGTGTGTCCCAGTCAGCGGCGTCACGTCCGTCGGGTGCTCAGGCCAAGCCGACGCCTTCCCCCGCGTCCCTGTGTGCCCCGCGCGCCACACGTCCAGGCCACCCGCGGTCCTCGCACGCCGCGACGGTGTCCCGTCGACAGGCCGCTGCCACCCCTCTCCTCGCCCTGCTCCCGTCCGTGTCCGCGCGCGTCGCGAGTCCCCGTGAGAAGTGCGTGTTGGGGCGGAACCTGCCCGACATCACGGTCACAGCGCTGTGTGGGTGGCCTCGCTTCCCTCTCGGACCTCGCCTCCCTCCGCTGTCCCCCGGGTCCCCACACCCCCGCTAGTGTCCTTCCTGCCGTCCCTTAGATGTCTGTGCTTAGGTGTCTTCTCTAGCGGTTCTTTCTGCTCTTCCCTCCTGGTCTTTTAACCTCAGTGTGAACGTCACTTCCTCTGCACGGTCACTGCCGGTCACCCTCAGCTATCCAGTCCTGAGGAGCCATCTGCTCATTTTTCTGCTCTGTGCGTCACTGTGCAGATATTAGATACAATCACCTACTTGTTCGTTGTCTTCTTATCGTTTTCTGTTTATTAGGTGTTTGTTCGTTTCGCTCCCTGCCCCGTTAACATTTGTGGAATAAATGATAAATTTTAGACAACCTCTTCCCTCTGTTTCTCCCCGTCTTTATCTCTGTGTGTCTCAGTAAGAGGTGCTTTCTGGCCAGATTTAATTTTACCGGGTATAGCTGGCGGCGCTCATGGGGAAGTCGGGGAGCTGGGAGTGTCTCTCATTAATTAACCGTTCTGCTCATGACCAGCTGGGGAGACGATCAGTATTATTGGTTACGTAGTTCAGATGTAGTAATTATTATGCTGGGAGGTGTAACTAATGATGATGAAATGATACAGATACCAGGGTCTTAGGAATGTGTAACTAGATAATTGGTTATATTTAGTCGTTCATTTTTCTTATCCTGTAGTGTATTTCCTCTCTTTGAAAAAAGG